TGTCCGTCGAATCTAGACTTGAAGCAAGTCTCTGAAGTGAATAGCTGGCTGAAAAGGAGATAAGCCAACACCTTTGCGAGGATAGGTCATGACCCGTAGTCTAATAGTCTAGTTTAGAATTGAAGTAAAAGTAGAAAAACTGGGATGTGTTTTAGTAGATTTGAGTGAGTAGTCGGAAAGAAATCCATGGTTCCTAGATTAGTATAATTTCTGGTCCTGCTTGATAGGCAGGCTCAAGAGCTGTTTCATAGGCAGGCCCACGTTTTCCAACATTCACCTGTAGTGCACAGAGACCAGCAGATTTCTGCTCTACACATAGGCGACCCCGGGTCATCATAATTGATCTTTCATGGTGATCAAGGGGGCGAATCTGGATCCAGATCTGATAATAGCAGCAGAAGAAGTAGGAGCAGCTTCGGGCGTGGCTCTAGCTTGCTGAGTTTTCTCTGCCTCTGTAGGAGGAAGAGGGGGTGGGTTTAAAGCGGCCCAGGCTCTGTGACCTTCTTGTCGGATAGCTCGAAGCCTATGTTTGTCTGGTTGTATAAACACCCCGTTTGCATGAATTGGACGAGCTACGCAGCCAGATGATTATGCCTGATGAGGTCCGGCGCAGTTTAGACACTTGACTGGGGTAACACATGGCCTGTTATGAGAGTCTGCAGCGCATATACCGCAGCGAGCGTGCCTGTTGCATGCATTGATGTTATGGTAGCCGTAACATCTAGGACATACCTGGAGCTGGGGTCTATTGTCTAGAGGGTTCAGCCTTGTTGCTCTAGCAAAGACACGGAGATGCGTTGGAAGCTTAGAGGTAGCTGAGGCCGAAATTACGAGACGAAGAGTACCCTTTCCTTCAGAAAATGCTGTAGATTGATGAGTCCAGTTCATGGAGTAAATAGTTGTTGTCTCCATGTTGGCAGACTCTAATTCCTGCCGAATTTCTTCACATGAGAGAGGCTCGCAAATTCCGGACTCGTTGTATACATATTTCTGAGCTGGTCCGAGAAGATTGTTCAGTCTTTTTTCCTGTCGCTCTATCTGAGCATTTTCGGTAATTGGCTTTAGGGCTTGAGCGGCCTGTAGCAGCTCCGGAGCTTGACTTGCAGAAGGGGCTACTAAGGCAATACCAGATGGAACATTCAGGATATCTTTGATGAGCTCTGGTCGATCTAATAGCCCTCGAAGTCTAGACCGGACCAGAAGTATGCCTTGGAGACTAAGAGGATAATCAGTTGGGAGGCGAACAATAACCCTAGTGTCTGTCTTCAATGGTTTTGCTCGTTTTCTGCCTTTCTTTGGATGAGTTTTCGGTGCCCGGACGGTATATTGGGTTGGTGGGATAGATTTTGCTACCTTGGCGTATGTTGGCTTTATATTCGTTGTTTTTAGTGATTTTCGGGACGGTGTTTTCATTGGATGTAGCTGAGGCTGTGATTGTTGGTTCAGGGGCCCATTTTCGAAGACCGGAAGACTCGCTATAATCCTAGCGGCGCTACTCGTAACAATAGCTCTCAAATCTGCTGCAATTTCAGGCGGTAAACGACGGAGATGCTCGGATCCAGCATTTTGCTAGGCTAGAAGTGCAGTTGCCAATTTATTTGTTGTTGCTGCTGATGGGGATATTACGGCTCGAGCGTGTGATCTTACAGTATCCCTACTTTGGGTGGGAAAATTAGACTCATGGAAAAGAGATGCGTGAATTGAGTGAGCCAACCCCAGTCTTGCTTGGTTTATGTTGGGCGTCTTTGATGAGGCGCCTATCCCATTGTTAGAAATTGTCAAGGATTTCGAGGAGGAAATATCTCGAAGAACAAGTGTACAATTTCGGACAAGACTTTATTGGTAGTTGTATAAGATATAGAACTCTCTTCTCAATATGAATTAATAATATATAATATTTCGTTAACTTAGTTTTACATACGTAGATGAGTCTATCCTTAAATACAGATCCTGAACTCCCGGTGATCTAGCAACAACCAGCCACTCAATTATCGCAATATAGCATTTCCTAGCCACTGCATTTCAGATATATCTAAACCTCAAGTCGCCCAGCTAAGCTTAATTATATGCAATCAATTCAATTCAATTGATCTTGATGATCATAGCTAGAAATCTAAACCTTCATACATACTAAGTCTAGATTTCCATCATCCATTTCTCGGGGTTTGGGTTTAGAGGAAAGGGGTGAAGTCCTGGTCTGAGTGCTCGCTTTCATCATCAGGGTTCGCGGGCATTTATTCATCCGCTGAATCTGTGATCATCTAATCTACTTGATGGCTCGGAATGTCTTTTTGGAGATCCGCTATTATCGCTCCTTAGCGTGTAGTCGGGAGAAGGGAGCGCTGAGGTTTCCGAGCGCGCGTTGTATACTTAGTAAAGGGTGTGGTGGGCGTAAGAATGAAAGGGTATCACGTGGTGTCTCGTGGCTCCTAACTACGACGGATCATGTGTAGAGCTTGAGACTAATACGTGAATTCTATATCCTTCGAATGTAGGATGTCTATGTGTCTATATACATTGACTCCTCCTTACTCCTCAGCGCTAGTAGATCTACTGCTGTGACCGCGGGCTCTGACAGTGCGATTTGCTGTGCGTGAGGTCATAGGATAATTAGGATTACGTGTGTTCCGTGTCTTGTCTTGTTCACTTACATGCTAGGTAAAGTGATTCCCGTTGCACTCCTACTGGAGCTTAAGCACGGGTGCGTCCAGGCTAGATCAGGTTAACTACCATTAAGTACATCTACCTCGTCCCACCTGAATGACCGGACCACCTCAAACTTCACCCATATGTTGAATCATGTCAAGCTCAATCGTCCAGAGAACCCCTTTTTGGCGCGCCGAGGCGCAAGTTCCTCCTCAGCCTCGGCCACCATGCGCCCGGGCCCTTGACACCTTCGCCATCTGTAACTTTTCCCTTTCATTCATTCTCAGCTTTGGCTCATCTCAGCATCTCCTCATCTCATCCAGGGCTCGTTTTCTTCACTGGAGGCCTCATCCAGTCGCCCACCAAGGCCTCCTCAGTTTGTATTCCCTTTTTAGTTCCTTCATACAGAATCCCTCTTTCCTTCAGCCGATATTGTCATCCCAGAAACTTTGTAGAATGTCCACCCCTCCGGCCTTGCCCCGTCGCTGCCGTACCCCTAACCGTGGAGGTCGAAAACGCAACTGAGAGCTCAAGACCGAGGCACCGATGCCCTAGACTTTGTCGAATGCTCTAGTTAGTGTGCCGGCGATTCGTCGTAGGTCGAGTTGTTGGTGCCCTTGGCCGAGTTGAGGACGCATTTAAGGCCGGTATTTCGACCGTACCTTCACAGCGACTGGCAGTTGCGTAGGGTCGGACATCCTCTTGCTTCTTTATTGGCGATTTGGCTTTTGGAGGTATGGGATTGCTTAGGTAGGTGGTGAGATGATTGTTGAGAGGGCCGCGAGATGAGTTTGGCTAGGAGTGATTTTCCAGAGAAATAGAAAATAAGATGTTGAAGGTGTCGGTTGTTGTAATACGAACATCAGACATGTTATAGCCTGTCTGCGGTTCGTATCTGGGGTGTACATGGTTGATTTCGTTGAGTTGTGCAGTCGTGAAATCTCTGCAAGTCGGATTTTCGACCAAAAATGAGCCAACACCACTTCTCCCGATCGCCAACTCGACGAAGACTCCCAAATTCACCCTTTGCCGTGACTGAATCTCGGGACTGGGAGAATATATCACTTTCAGGTTCGTAGAGGACACCACTGACAGGTGTTCAGCCTTCGTCCTCCTCGTGCGTTCCGTGTTTCCTACATCTAGCTAATTCGTGCCCTGTAAAACTATCCGAGATCCACAGCGTGTTTGGACGCACGAGTTGCCACGCGCGTAGGTGACGGTCGCAGCAATGAGCCGGGTGTCTTCTGCCTCCCGGGCGGCATTGGAGATATGAGATTTTACGAGGAGATGCTTCTAACTCGTACATAAATTGTGTGCGAGGCTGTAATAATATGTAGGTCATTTGTCATTATTTTTTTTTTGTCTACCGGGCACTAGTTGCAACTAAAGCCCCATCCCTGAGGGGACATGGTGACTGCTATATAATACAAGATGTGATGTGCAGCGGCAGAGGCCATGAAAATACATTTAGAGACTACGAGCGCTATGCAGTGGGTACCTCACAAGAATAGCTCATATGTTACGGAGTGGGCATATTTATGACAGGAACCTAACCTTCCCCAATATGGTGGCGAAACGCTTAGCTCCTGGCGAGGTGCTTAGAAGAAAATAGAGTGAGGCCATACTTCGTCGATGGCCGGCCGAAGCCAGTCTCTCTCGCACAATGGGGTTAACAACTAAATGAGCGAGTGGCTTTTTAGCCCCGCAGGAACAGGTCAGAAGGATGTCAAGATGACGAAACCATTTGTGATAGGCACGAAATCAATTGTCATTATTTAAATTAATGGAAGAAATTGGATGGGCCTCATCACGTGAACTTCGGCATAATGCAACATAAAGCGTACTCATGGAGGATATCATTCATCAGTTTTGTAAGTTTCAGTTGTGAGCAAGGATAACTGATAGCTACATATTCATGGGCACATACCACATTTTCTAGATTCACGGAACAGCACTGTTTCGGTTTTCATGTGGGTTGGACGAAAAAGGAAATACGTGACTAGACTTCTTGCAAGTGTAAACTTATTGCAGTCGCCGTGCAAAGTGTGATACAAAAGGGAATTTTTGTTCGTTTACTGATGAGCATATACAAGGGATAGGGACGCATCTGTGTGGATTTTCGTCATCATAGGACAACCTAACTTGCGGCATCTCATCGAGAACAAGTGCATTTCAAGTGAACTACAGGTTAACTTGTCATACTCGACCTGATGGAATTATCAATCAATTTAAGCTAAAGATTAGGTGTGGAGACTTATATACCAACCTAAATTCCCAGAATTCCTACCTACAACTCTTTACTTTCGCCTAAACACCATCCTTTTCTACGCCATTGGAATGCTCCTTGCGATTAATCAAGTGGATTTTTTCTTTTCGGCGTAATCTAGAATAACCCTCTTTCCAAAATCTCTAGCTCTCTTCCATTTACAGTATAAAGTTACCGCGTCTCTGAGCAGAACAAGCATACAGCCACCAACAATCGTACGACCCCATTTCTCAGTCATGAGTCCCCTCTTTACAACTCTGTTCCGCCATGAATAGCCTAAACTTGTTGTAACAAAGGTTGAAGGTAGTGAGTGATTGAGAATATCACCGGCAGCTGTTGCAATAAAAGGAAAGGAGAGGGCACCTACTACCAGAGCAGCAATTTGGCTGGCAGAATAGTGATGAACAATTGGCTCTTGCTCATGAACAACAACTTCTGCGATTTGAGGATGTTCGTGAGCTTGATTTAAGACGTCAAACCCAAAAGTTTCTTCTTCAAGCTGTTCGACTCCAATCTCGCCGGCATAGTATTCATCGAGTTGAGATTCAATTTCATCATTCAATTCATCTATATCCGTGATCATAAGATGATGATCCCATTCTTCTTGCTCGTTTAAATTTGCATGGGTTTCATCACCATCGACGATCTCATGTACCAATTCTGGACCTTCTAAAAAATATCAGCACTCGGCCTCGCCAAACCTGCAGAAAGCTATTTACCATAGCTCTGTGATTCATCGACAAGTTCGTGAGAGTCTGGTAAGCCTTGTATCCGCTGATTGTGATCTGTTTCTGGTATTTCGGGCAAATCTTCTTCAAGCTCCGCTGCTCTGAGATCGCCATCTTCTACTAACTCAACGCGAACCTCGAAGAACGTGTCATCATCCTCTCTTGCAGCTTCCAACCCTATTTGCTCCGTTGTCTCACCAACACGAGGCCTACGCTGAACTGCTATCTCCCACTTGTATTCCATCTCTTGGAAAATATGTTTGTATATTTCATCATAGGCTTTTTTGATGTAAGGTATTGTCGCAAAAGCGAGGCCTGGCGGTGGTGGCCATGCGATCTTTTGATTGGCTGGATTCAGAAAATACTGTTCTTATCAGAAAAGATGAACGGTTCAAATTTCGTAGATTTCTTACCCAAGGTAAGACAAATGCAAAAGCTTTATCAGCCCATCTAGTTCTTAGAAGAACAAGTGAGGGAGCAATCAAAGGGACGCCGACAAAGACTTTTGATATACTGTAAGCCTGAAATGTTGGAATGAGAGGACTGAAAGACTTCATTGTACCAACGAATAATTGAGATACCGTCCACATTATCCCTGTCGGGCGAGCTTGTGACTGTAACAATTTTTGGGCTTCGGCATCGCCAAAAACAACCCTAATAACATTCATACCGTATAGTAACAAGCCCGCATAGGTGCATGTTAGAACAGAAGCAGTTGCTGCTACTGGAACTAAGATGGTCCGACTAAGCCTTTTGAACATCTCCACGGCATCTACAACGTAATCCTGGGGTTGCTGAATATTAATCCTTGCTTTGCATTGAGGACATTGAATCTGGCGTTTGCGGGCTATTTCTCCAGGCTTAGGTGCTTCTTCGTTTGATACCCATTCCAATAGACAGGTATCATGAGCTGTGAGAGAACATGGGCACGGCTTTCTCCACGTGGAGTTCTCTGGTGTGTCATCTGCATCATCTTGTTGGCAGATCCAGCATTTTCGTGGATAAAATCCGGTTGCAGAGGGGTTTGGCTGTACTTCTTCGTGCGTGGCCGTGGGCACCACTGAAGTTGACATAATTAAGATCGTAGGTATAGTTTAATGTTGAATTATTGAACTGTGTGGTGAAAATCTAGCTCATTTTTAAGAGAAACTTTACTGACGAGCGCATCAATGCAGTCTGATTCACAAAGGTGTTCACATTAACTTGATGTTTAACTAGCGCCAAGCCGGCAGTAGCCGTATCGAAGTTCGGTGGTAATTCCCCCCACTATTACCGGCGAGCCATCAACGAGATCAGCGCGAACCAAATTGACCGAACGCTCCTTATCATAGGAAATGAGGATTGGATAAGCAGCATCGCTATTTACTTGCAGCTTAGTAGCGAATATTACAACTTTTGTAGGGAAATACAGGCCTGTTACCCTATTCACTCGAATGCGGCAATCATCCTCTTACAAAATTCGCCGACTGCAGCTGCTCCATGCAGCAGCTTCCATTGAACTAACATGGTGCCAAAACGGTATATGATGATGTCCATTCTTCTTTTGGTCGTTTGGATCGCCTTTTATACAAGATTAGGTCGGAATGGAGATGACCATATGCACAAGGTCAATAGCTGGATAACTACGGGCACAAAGCTTGAGGCTTACTCGCCTTGTACAGAGAATATAGCCTGGCTTGAACCATACAAGTTTTCCTATCCCATTCGCTATGTTTCCCGCAACATTACAGCTGTGCAGACTCCAAATAAATCAAGGTCATCCATCACTGTTATGGATAAGCCACTATTTGCTGGTTTCACTACAGTTGACTTGAAGCAATCTTCGGAAGTTTCAAACAATGAATGTCTTCCTTCACTCACAATAGAAGTTTCGCGCACTAAAGTGCCGCCGGTAGATGCTTCTAACATCATTTTTGGATTACAGACGACAATAGCAAGACTCAGAGACACAGTGAAGCACCTGGCTCGGTGGCTACCACATACAGGTGCCAGACTATTTGCCATAGTGATTGAAAATGAAGAAAATCCGGCAGACGAAGTGGAGATGGTAGATTTAGAAAGAAAGTTTCATGCTCTCGGTATGAATGTCACAATAATGCACCCAGTCAGACGGATCGATAGCTTTGCGCAACGATACTTTTCACTTGTATCGGTCATGTACAGAGCTCGTGATGAGAAAACTCAGTGGATTTGCTGTATTGACGATGACACATTCTTTCCCAGCATGTATGACCTCCAGGCCATGCTCATTAAATACGATACAAGTGAACCGCTTTATCTCGGTTCCTTGAGTGAGGACTGGTGGGCTGTTCAACACTATGGTCTAATGGGATTTGGCGGAGCTGGTATTTTCCTTTCCCTGCCCATGGCATCAATTATCTACAACAACCGTAATGAATGCAGCGAAAATTTGAGGACCACGGCGGGCGATGTTACAGTGATGGATTGCATTTACCGATTCTCTACAGTCAAACTTACCCATATTCCAGGCCTGCATCAGATCGATATGCACGGGGATCTTTCGGGATTTTACGAATCAGGTCGCGAAATGCTCTCCCTGCACCATTGGAAAGAAGGATCGTCTACGGAATTTAAGCTAGAGATGGAAAAGATGCACTTAATTGCTGACCTCTGTGACTCCTGTTTTCTGCAGCGTTGGCAATTCTCCAACGATGTGATTGTCACTAACGGCTTTTCCATCAGTGCTTTCTCCAAAGGTCATATATCTCAACCCAAAAATTTAATATCAGATAGTGCCGGGATGGAAAAAATCAATCTCGATGCCGTGGAATACACCTGGAACGACAATATCAACGTTTTACATAGTTTAGCGCCAACGCGTGATAAGTTAGATGAAAGTATTAAGACAAGCTACAGGCTATTGGATAGCATACATATCAATGAAAACTCGTCTGGGATCCGTCAAATTTACTTTCGGGAAGGAAAACAGAAGTCTTATTATACTGGGCGGGAAATGGATACTGTCATCGTACTAAATTGGCTCCAAGATAACGAGAAATTTTCGTCGGATTTTCGTCCAGGCTGAACTTGACCATATCAACTTAATTTCAGATGAGAAGAATATCTAAAATTAACCTTGAGGGTTTGACTGTAGATAGGACGCCGTCAGAGCTCCACTTCACTGGCCAGGTTCAGACCATCTTCCCTATAGCGGCAAAAACGCTGCTTGGAGAAGGCTCTATTAGACTGCTAATGTAGTAGATCATTTATTGGATATATATATCTCTAGTTCCACAAATAAAATAAGCAAGTCGATCACTAGCTTTCCAATAGAATTTGAATTCCAAATGGATCACTTATGTATATTTCAATCTATTTATGTAGTGTTATGTTACGGGGATCGAGGTCGCCTAGCTGGTTTTAGCAGGCAAAAATAAGGTCCCTTGAATACCTGTAATTCTTCATAGTTCCAGGTTATAAAAACATATTCAAGGCTTTCATAATGAAAATTGTTGTCTACACTCGTTCTAAGACTACACAGGCCAAGGATACCTATCTTGTGGTAAATTCCCTCCTATGCCTCCCACGTAGCTCCCCTCAAACAGTACCACCCCTCACAAGTCCTCATTCGATCATACACTTAGAGGAGCCCTTTGCCCTTCATTATCTCCCCTCTCCAGCCAACGAAACGATGGCCATTTGCGGGTGTATGGCAGCCGGGAAAAATCGCAAAAACCACTGGGTGCGGGGCTCTTCTTATACCGACATTAGGACTAAATCCGAAGACATAGTGGCCCTTCTGAAGCGTTCGAAGAGGCCAGCCAGCTAGGCGCTGCAGACTTGTGGATACCTCGGGGAATGGACACTTAACCTCTCTAGCCTACTTCCAACCCTTTCCAGAAAGTCGTACTGAAATGTCAGAGAAGTCTTGAAAGAGTGTGATCGCTGAATAGTAGCTAAGCCCAACTTCTTTTGTGTCGTCCAGGGCGCTGGGAGTGCCGTTGGCTCGTCGAAAATAGAATTTCACCTAGCTACCTACCCGAAACCGTAGTGTTGGCGTCCACAAATACGCCAAAGTCAAAAGTCCTGTGAAATGAGTTAGTCCCAGCATGCCCATCTATGGTCTCTTCTCTCAAGTTACCAGATTCTATTAGAGCAACAGTCCCCCAGAAACCAAAGCTCGAGCTTTGCATCTCATGACTTCATATCCTTCTTGCCGATTTAGGTTGCGTCGTAGTTTGAAAATGGGAGATAGTTAATGATTGATGAGGCAAGCTAAGTTTTGCAATTGGCGCAACTACTTCATAGGCCGATGAGATAGGGTGGAAGGTAGTAAGATTGGGTCGAGGGCTCGTATGAGTGTTACATGACCCAAGTGAATGAAAAGTCGAGGAAAATTGATATGCTCGGATTTGCTTTTGACATGGATTCCGATGCGATTGTCCTTGCTTTTCTTTTCTTTTTGCATCAGATTTTAATTGCGTATACATCTATCTAGCTATGGCACAATATCAAAGAAAAGTTCAGAATAGGTGATTCAACGTAAGGGAAATTGTCCCTGCTTGTTTGTATGTGCAAAGCGTATTGAGTGTACACTCTGGCACCGCTAGGGGTGAAGAATGCATTTTTTCGGGCTTCAACTGGCCATGCTTCCTAGCATGCCCCTAAATGATAAAGGCGCGCATTGCGTGAAGTCCTACCCTCATGTGGTCCCTGGCGTGTAATTTGAGATGGCTTCGATCCTTGGGCAACCCAGGATGGGATGATAGGCTAAACTCGGCAGACTCACCGCTGTTACTCAAAAACAATTCTCCATTCCCGCCGTCAAGCCGCTCAAGTACAATGATTTAACCTGTCGGCTTTGGAAACTGACAAACGAGCTGAGGTACCGCGTCACATCCTTGTCGGTCATTGTGCACCTGCATTTTCTCCATGTAACTCCTGAACCTTTTCTGTGCCTTCCCCCCTACCTCCCAAACTGCGAAGCTGTCAGTTGGGACTGCTTGAGCGAGATTCGGAAGAAGTATCATCCGCCATCTTCGAGGTGCAAATTAAGTTATTCATCTAACCTTATTTGGGGTCTCGATGGTCCATGCATATATTATCAGAAGAGATGTAATTTGTGTAGAGTAAATATTTTTGATACGTGGAGCTGGTACTCTACAGTACGACTGCTACCTAGAGTGATACCTTATAGCCCTTTCTATACCACTACACCATTAGCACTGGTTCAAGGAGTGGAGGCGTTAATACTTGTGGCTCTAACAATTTGATCAATTCACGCTGGGCTCTGTAGCAGTACTTTTTTTATAATGAAAAATAATTTATGCATATTCAGCCATTTAGCTATGATACATGACCGGTGCTATGTATACGCACTGGATGACTCTTTTGACGTTAGAACACTCATACTCCGGATTTCATTCGCAGACACTACTTAAAATAAACGCTTTCGGCTTGTAACCCCTTCCGTTTTTTTTTTTAATTCATAGTGTATTCAGCTATCTAGCTATGACACATTTAAAATACATAGATCTAGCCTTCCCCTCCTTATAAATCACTACCCCTTCATTCCAAATTTAACATTTCCCAATTATTTGTCCTAATTTAACTCCCTTTATGTGCTGCCATGCACTTGGATGTATCCAAAAATAATATTAATAGTGCTTCCTTCCCTCTTTTTGTACAAAACAAGGTCGGAAGTGTTCTTGGCTCTATGCTCTTGAAGCATCTGCTTCTCTGGTCTTTGAATTTTGGGCAGTGTAACAACAGGTGCTGCACATTTTGCCTTTCTTTTCCACAAAAATTACATGACTTATCTTGAACCTTTCCTATCATGTGCAAGTAGACCCTGGTTTTGCCTACTACTAGCCTGGCCTGGAAAATAACCCCTTCCGTGCGTAGCCATCAAGGGGAAAGCGTTAACCCCCATGGTTATCCGAGTGTGCTTTCATCATTCCAAAGCTAAAATATCACCGCGAAAGATTGTGATGCATTGATCTCAATGGAATCGAGCCAGCTCTCTCCTGTCTCAAATGAAGCTGGTGTTAAGCTACCCAGAATCTACTTGAGTGAACGGTCCGGATGGTGTACCACTGCACCATCCATTCCGACTAAAGTGGAACAATAAACATAAACACACACAGCTGTTGGGAATCTAACGATGGTTTACAGAATAGAGTACTATGTCATGTGTGTCTACTATCGCATGTTTATTGTCCAATTATGCACTTCAGAAATATAGCAATTGCTAGCAGTGCCTACTTGCGGGATATTCACAAGATTTTGAAGTAGATAGATATCTAGAAAACGGGGTTTATTTTATCTAGGATAGTGTGAGTAAGTGACGGGAGCTTTTTTCACTGTGAAAGGCCGCAGTCCGCAGCCTAACACAAATGTGACTGGTTAATTCCTTTAACTTTGCATTGTTCCATCAAGTATCATCTTTCAACTTTGCTCCTATAAATATCTTGGTGCTCTGAAGATGTACGCATCACGTTTAAATCAGGCACTAGTAGTGGCAAAATTGCGAACGTCGGCTTAAATCCACTTACAATCCTCACTTTTATGTAAATTCTATTGCCCTTTCAAACGACATTTCTAGTACAAACTATCATCCGACGTAGTTGTCCTCCACAAATGGTATGGTATTACTAAATTTTAGCATTAATAATTGATGTCGGCAGATATACCCGTGTAAAAATTTTTGTCCGCTAGATTTCGACCCATTCTCTTTTGCAATACTCATATTTGCCATTGATAAGATCTTCGGTTACTACATCAAGCAGATCACAATTGTAAGTTGCGATAATGTGAGGAGTTTCTGCGTCGCTCTTTTCTACAAGAAGTTAGACTCCGGCATGAAGCTTTATAGTTACACTGGACCAACTCACTTTCGTTACTCGCTAGAGCCAATCGTTTCTGGGTTGGAGGTCTATATCCGACTTTCCACACAAAGTAGGGACCGTGCTCTTCATATTTATCGGTCTCAATTGTCGCGGGATATGGCCACTTCGCTCGAACTTTACCCGGCTCGCCGATAGCCTTGCAGGCATGGGTAAGAGAATCTATAACCATCCCGAACTTCGCAGTTATTGTTTTATTTTGACCAGTTACACAGCTGAAAACAAGTTCCGAAGGCTTATCCATATGACGCTTAACTAGGAAATCATTAAAGGCGTCAAAACCACCAATGCTGCTCGCCGTGTTGTCAACACCTAAAGAGTCTGTGATTTGATCCTGTACGGCGGCATGCATAACGGTATTGTGACTGGAAGATTCATCCTGCACCAGCACTCTCTTGAGTTGCGCTTCGTCCCCGACAGCACTGGATATCAAAAAGGCGGTTGTTATGGTAGTGATTAGGAGGCGCATCGTGAAAACGGGTGACTAGGTGACTAGGTGGTTAGGTGATTAGATAGTTGTCTCGAGTTGATAATAGCAAGAGCGGATGAGCGTGGCAGTGAGTGACAGCAGTAACAACGAGTGACGAATCAAAGATAACCTCGATATGCGCAAAGGGAGAAACTCTGGGTTGACAATGGCAATGGCAGTGCTGGTAGTTGTAATGATCCAAGTGAACAGAGGGCATCTGTCTTCTTATCTACGTATTTGCATGTACATGGCTTGTAAGTGCAAATATTCACGTCTACTCACTATTCTAGAATTTCAAAGTATACGAATTACTCGCGCCCGGCAAATAAGACGAGATTCCGACAAGGGTCTGTCCAATCTCCACCGTCAACACTGCAAGCGGTTGATCAAATCATTCTCCACGAACTTTCATTTGCTGCTATTACCGTCATCTTAGGGGCGAGTCGGTCCAATGACCAGCTCGAAAGCTAACTCTCCACACACGCGACTCGACGACAAATCTTCTCGAGGTATGCAAGCCATGCAAGCCATGCAAGCCATGAGGGTCATGAGAGCGACGCTGCCAATCCTGACGATAACGGTGATATCCGTCCATAAACGCCCGCCGAGCTTTGGATTGATCCGTGTTGGAAGCTCCTCGTCAGGTCGCCGGAAAAGTCCGAGGTACTTAGTCATCGACAAGCATAGCTTGTTTTCTCCCCTTTAGATTAAACTTCATCCCCGCGCATATCTAGTGGATCCTTCAGATCTTACTCAAGCGCCGCGGGTCCATCGCATGAGCTCCTTTGAAATTGTGTATGCGCTAGGGAAGGCCAGTCAATTTGGAATGGGCATATTCAATCCAAGTTGGTGTTCACGGAGCACCGGGCAAGGGCAGTTGTATCGATTGGGAACCGCGGATCAAGAATAGTCGGATAGAAGCGAAAGTGGATTGGGTTTAGATGTTACGGGAGACGAGAATATTGTACATGACATCTCTGAATAGAACCATATTCTAGATAGTCAACGACGTAGAAAAGTCTGCCGGCTTAGGTTGATAAGAACTAGACTGTATACCTTAACGACTTGAAATCTATTTCCGACTCGGATCATAAAAACTCAGTCGCGGCTGTGGATCACGAACACGGGCCCCAAAGTGCACAAGCGCAACCTCTGACGCTGACGTGACATGACATGATATCCGAGGAATAGAGTTGGTTAATGCTGGGCAAGCTCTGGATAGTCATATCTCTTAGGCAAAGATGTAAAATTATTTGAACTGCTCCATCTCCTGGGATCAGTCCATGGGGAGTTGTTTTGTTGGTCAGCGATAACTTGCTCCCCCACTTCGCTAGTGCCATCACCCCCGAAATATCTGGTCATGTGCATGCAAGCCGTGGATATTTTGACTATGACGATGAAGGGTTCAGCTTGATCGTATAGCTGTTTCTACCGAAGGAGAATAAAGACTACACAGAATACAGCCGATGTTGGCATGTACCATTCCCATAGTGCAACAAGGGTCCGGGAGATTCCTTCCATGTACAACTCCTAATATAACTAGCAGCCCTGCAGCACGCGGATACATTAAACGAATCATCTACAGAATTTTTATTGCCCTAGAATCACTGTAGACTCAGCTTCACCTTACTCAAGTGGAGGCTACGTGCCCTCACATACACTCTACTATGGAGCTGAAGAGTGTGTGGATACCTAACCATAAACAATTGTGAATAGGGTGAGAATTATGTGGAGAGATCAATCGAGGGTTTATGTAGTTATTCTTGTTGTGATCTAACGTTGTTCAATCCGCGAACTTTGTGGTGACCGGTTATTATATCTCACGTGATGGAACTCGGGAGTGTAGTAAAAGAGGGGACAGCCCACTAGCCAAATCTAAGCGATTACGGGCACTTGTAGAACTGTAACACATTCTCTGTAGATAGACATAACAAGCAATTATCATCAAATAATTGAATCAACCTCCACACAATTGGGACTCATAGAAGTCCCAAACTTTCATACAACCCTCAATTGTATTGTCGCAACCGCATCTGTAACGAGCCACCACTGTATTCTCAAATACACTCTCTAACTGTGATAAGCTACACCGCCAGGTCTAGCAAACAAATTACAACAATTCTTGCGCTTGATGTGGGCAATTAGGAGAGAGGGAAGTTATCTTATTCTGGAAGATGTTAATAATGTCCCTGTATTATGCTATAGAATTCCAAGATAATAACAAAATACATTCCTCGGAAAGATAAAGCTTGCCAGGGAGTATTGATTTCCACTGGGATCGATCAGACAATAATCTATAAATCCGTTCGCTATGACCGCATTGGTATATTCATTGGCTTTATATCTAGTCAACGGAGCAAGCATAGTCTTCCAAGTTATGCGTTGTTCAAGTTAATTATATTACTCCTCCATTGATTTAAGAATACTAAAGCGGGTGTGATTTCGTGGTTCAGGATGGCGGGCTGCCGAGATATTTTGCAAGCGACTGGGGTGAGAAATATAGGAATAGAATAGATTTAAGTTCCACTAATTATTGTAAAATGATACTCAGCAACTTATCCATGACCTGTAGGCTGATAGACCCTGTATGTCCCAAATCCACATAGACTGAGAGAGAACAAAAAAATGATTCTCTCACCCACCTCATGGGTGTATGACGTGGCCGGCAATCACCGGTCTCCACACTCTCTTGGAACCTGCACGTAAGTTGAGCCGGGCCGGTCCTGATCGGGTTGACTACTTTTAACTCTTATCAGCCTTGTCACTCCGAGACGACTGGATCGCCCTAGACTTTGCCCTCATATTGACTACGTGCCGAGCCATGACCCGTTCCCCAGACTCGGCTATCACGGACCTCAACGCTTGATATCGTCATAATTTTGAGTCATATTTTCTCTTAAGCAACGGCTAAGTAAGGTTCCCGAATCCCCAACACCTGCGCAAGGGTCCATTTCTCTGTAGTAGAGCCTGATATAGTCGCTAGCTTAAGTTATCTTGTCATTGCTTCCCGCACCCTGACCGATAACTATACACTGGCGGCCTGTTCTGCGTCGTTGACTATCTAGAATATGGTTCTATTCAGAGATGTCATGTACAATATTCTCGTCTCCCGTAACATCTAAACCCAATCCACTTTCGCTTCTATCCGACTATTCTTGATCCGCGGTTCCCAATCGATACAACTGCCCTTGTCCGGTGCTCCGTGAACACCAACTTGGATTGAATATGCCCATTCCAAATTGACTGGCCTTCCCTAGCGCATACACAATTTCAAAGGAGCTCATGCGATGGACCCGCGGCGCTTGAGTAAGATCTGAAGGATCCACTAGATATGCGCGGGGATGAAGTTTAATCTAAAGGGGAGAAAACAAGCTATGCTTGTCGATGACTAAGTACCTCGGACTTTTCCGGCGACCTGACGAGGAGCTTCCAACACGGATCAATCCAAAGCTCGGCGGGCGTTTATGGACGGATATCACCGTTATCGTCAGGATTGGCAGCGTCGCTCTCATGGCCCTCATGGCTTGCATGGCTTGCATACCTCGAGAAGATTTGTCGTCGAGTCGCGTGTGTGGAGAGTTAGCTTTCGAGCTGGTCATTGGACCGACTCGCCCCTAAGATGACGGTAATAGCAGCAAATGAAAGTTCGTGGAGAATGATTTGATCAACCGCTTGCAGTGTTGACGGTGGAGATTGGACAGACCCTTGTCGGAATCTCGTCTTATTTGCCGGGCGCGAGTAATTCGTATACTTTGAAATTCTAGAATAGTGAGTAGACGTGAATATTTGCACTTACAAGCCATGTACATGCAAATACGTAGATAAGAAGACAGATGCCCTCTGTTCACTTGGATCATTACAACTACCAGCACTGCCATTGCCATTGTCAACCCAGAGTTTCTCCCTTTGCGCATATCGAGGTTATCTTTGATTCGTCACTCGTTGTTACTGCTGTCACTCACTGCCACGCTCATCCGCTCTTGCTATTATCAACTCGAGACAACCATCTAATCACCTAACCACCTAGTCACCTAGTCACCTAGTCACCCGTTTTCACGATGCGCCTCCTAATCACTACCATAACAACCGCCTTTTTGATATCCAGTGCTGTCGGGGACGAAGCGCAACTCAAGAGAGTGCTGGTGCAGGATGAATCTTCCAGTCACAATACCGTTATGCATGCCGCCGTACAGGATCAAATCACAGACTCTTTAGGTGTTGACAACACGGCGAGCAGCTCTGGCGGCTTGAGCGCTATAGCTGGATTCTTAAAGAAGCGCTTCTTTATAGAAAAGAAACGCATCATGATGTACGACTGTATGAATGCGGATAACCAGGTTGAATCCGCTCTATTCTCAAGAGCCAACACAGCTTTAATCCACGCTTGCTTCGCAATTGGGCAAATCAAGAATTCCACCGTGGGTGCGACTACTCCCACAATAGTCACCGTTGCGAAATTTAATGCACCACCTCCCTACTATGCTTGGAATATTGAGAATAAGTCTCCAAAGCACAAAAAGAAGGGGTCAAAGAAGTCAAAGAGTAAGTAGTCCGCATTTTCCATTTCTACAAATTTCTGAACGTTTCTAACTTCGTGAAGACAAGAGGGAAGAAGCAGAGGAAAAAGTACAAGAAAAGTTTGTTATTGCGAGTGAAGACTGCAAAATGCTCGGTGTTGTGACCAAGGATACCAGAGATAATCTATTGTATCCTTGTGAGAAGCAGTGGCATGTAGAGCTTTAGTCGCATTTTTAAACCAAATTGTTAGCTTTAACAACAGCAAAGTTTTCCTCAAGCCAAATCTGGAAGGTATAAAGGTTAAAACCTAATAACGAGAAGTTTCTTTCGTGTCGGAAGCGTTATTAAGGATGTCGTGATTTCGCAGCTCCGATAAAGAGCCATGAAAGCCAGGTTCACTTAATCTCTTGGTATAACATGGAGCGTCTGAACCTAATAGTATATCAAACATATTGTATAATACCATCATGGTTGACAACCCAGCTATGCAGTCAGTGTTATTTGCCCAAAACTACTGTGACCCCTCTCTTCAATACCCATATCCTCTTTTTACCATTGAGTGCATGGTATCATGAAACTATTTCATCTTTGTTGAGCTTGTTTCGAAGTTCGGGCTCCCATTTTTCGTGCAGATCTCCCTCGGCAAAGCTGCGCACACGCGAGTCGATAGATGAGCAGCTGGTTTGAGGGGCAGCTGGTGCCGGATTGCTATCCGCTAGATTTAACTCTAGGCCAGTTAGCATTGCATCCGATGTTATCTATCTATTGCTGGTATAGGCATGTATATAGTGGATATATTATTAAAATTATACGCTGTGGTTCGATTGATCTCTCGTAAGATACATCATATTATACATTCCAATTACAATTACATATCCTTATCGTGTGATCCTCGCTTAGAGGATTGACCCTGACTTCACGTGACAACGTAAACATGACCTGAACTTGTGTATTTCAACATATATTCGATCCGAATGGACAGCCCGGCCTCGAGTTATGACGTATGTTCGCAAAGGTCGCAGTCTCTCTCCCTTTCAGCCAAAAGCTTATTCGCGCGATCTAATTTGTGTCTACATTCACCGTCGAGGGAGGCGTATGGTTGATTGTTGGAATATATACAACTCCCCAGCAGGCTCCTCTGATGCAGGAGAAGGCCTAAGAGTTCTCTTTACAATAACCGAAAGCCCTAACATCCTTGCAGGGGATTTTAATATACACCATTCGGCCTGGGATCCGGCGGCCAGACAAGATTCGGCCCATGGAGACTCCCTACTGGTCTGGTCTTTCAATAAAGGCCTATCTCTTTTGAGCCCATATGGAATCCCAACACATGACGCAGGAGGAGTACTGGATCTCTGCTTTGTGCAATCCAGGTCTCACCCCTCTTGCAAAATCTGCCAAGATCTCGATGCTGGCGCAGACCATAGAACTCTTGTAACGCACATTCCAGATGACGGCCCTGATACCCCCGCCATCGGCCGGCTTCAATACACTGCCTGCAACTGGGAAGCTTTCCGGCAAAACCTTGCTGACCAACTCACAACCCCGCCCTCAGCCAATCTAAGTGAGGAAGCATCTTTCCTTGTTGATGCATTATCTGGTGCGCTACAAGCAGCCTGCCCTAGATCACGGGAAAATTCAAGGAGTACCCCATGGTGGAATGCCAAATGCGCTGAAGCTCATCGAAATTTTTGCCGTGCCAGACGTCTCGGTTCAAACGCCACAGAGGAACGTCGGGGCTTTGGCAAGATTGTCAGGAAAGCCAAACAAGAGTACTGGCGTCAAAAGATAGAGAAGATATCCAATCTAACTGAGACTTATCAGGTCACTAGGTGGTACAAAAAACAATCTCTGTTCCAGACCCCCCCCTTTGTCGGACCAAGTGGACTTGCAATAAAACCTGAAGCAAAATCGCAGCTCCTCAAAGACACGCTCCTAAGTCGACATCTAGACCATAATGATCTCCCTCTATATGTACCTACTGTGCCCAGAAAAAATATACACTGGCCCTCACTCACAGACGAGGAAATATTCCGCTCATGCTGTCAAGTAACCTGCTCGGCACCCGGAATAGATGAAATCACAACAGATTCCCTCAAGAAAGCGTGGCCTGTAATAGGCTATCGGATCGCAGCACTTTTTCGTCAATGTATCCAGTCGGGACTTCACCCACCTATCTTCAAAAAGGCTAACCTAATCATTCTACCAAAAATGGGAAACCGCAACTTCTCCCTACCTAAATCATATAGGCCAATCGCTCTTCTTTCTTGCCTCGGAAAAGGATTAGAAAGGCTAATTGCCCGAAGACTCTCCTACCTCGCCCTCAAGCACCGCATTCTCTCTCAGGACCAATGTATTGCAGTGCCCCGCCGCACGGCGACAGACCTCACAACAGCTTTGGCCTGCGACATTCAAATGGCATGGGCCGAAAAGAAGGTTGCAGTTGTTGTTACCGTGGACATAAAAGGACGCCTCTCTTACCGCCTCCGTAGCCAAGGATGGCCACCTAATATCACACGCTGAGTAATTTCTTTTATGGAACAACGTGGGGCCACCTTATCTTTGGACAGCATTAAATCGCCAAGTTTTCAAATCCACTGCGGCCTTCCACAGGGGTCCCCTATATCACCAATACTCTTCCTTCTGGCTATAGAAGGAGCACTCAATCTGACACGGGGCCGATTCGGCTACGCTGGCGATATTGCGCATTTCGCATCTGCACCAGACCTTTCCTCTTGCGCAAAACTGCTCCAGAATCAATTGGATCAAACGCTTACTTGGGGACATGGGAACGGCATATCTTTTGAGATTGCCAAAACCGAGCTACAGTACTTCCACCGTAAACAGGGAACGCCAGCAGAACCAAGTCTCTACATTAATGGCCTTGAGATCAAGCCTAACAACTACACCAGGTGGCTCGGAGTTTATTTTGATCGGAACTTACGTTTCAGGTACCATGTTAGCCAGGCCTGCAGAAAGGCTCTTAGCATAACAGGTCACTTAAAACGGATTTCATGTACCACCCGAGGCATTAATCCACACCTTCTCAAACAGGCTCTACAAGGAGTAGCATTGGCCACGCTTTTCTATGGAGCTGAAACATGGTACTCAAAGTCAACACCGAAAAATATCATCACACGCGTCCAACGTAGAATAAACGATGCTACCCGGGTAGTCCTCTCTGTCTACTATACAACCCCTACTGCCGCCCTTCTCCGAGAGACTGGATGGGGCCCGGCACTTGCATGGCTTGAGAGAATACACGACCGTCTCGCAGTCCGAGTTGCAGCAGCAGACCCAAGGCATCCGCTCCGATGACGCTGGAACTCACCTCGTATGTGTTGGATCCGCCAGAGAACCTCCCCCGAACTTTCCACCGACACCATCCCGTCACCCTGGGACACCAACGAAAAGTCACACCTATAAACTATAGGCGCTGTAGGCAAAAGAATAGGTCTACAGGAATTCAAAAAGTGGCACATATCACAGTCCCCCTTAGACTTATTTGTCTTCTCAGATGGAGCGCCTATCGACAACCAAGCCGGAGCTGGGTACGTGATATACCGGGGTCTTTCGCAGGAAGTTGGGCGGGGCTTACTCCCCCTCGGGAACTCTGCTGAGGTTTATGACGCCGAAATTGCCGGAGCAACCGAAGGACTCGCCGCAGCCCTTCGTAAACCCATGGCCCGATACGCCAATAAGGTGTTTGTGTGCCTAGACAACCAGGAGGCTGCCCTTCGGCTTCTTGTATGCAACCCCACCCCCTCTAGTTCTCCTCGTATCACTCAGTTTAGAGGGCTTGCGACAGCATGGACTAGAAGAGACCGTTGCCACTTCACTGAAGTCGGCTCAGTCGTCAAAAAATGGTGCCCTGCACACGTTGGTATTTTAGGAAACTGTGACGGAAACCGATTTGGTAATGAATAAATCGATTTATTAAACTATATGAAGAGGAAAGAAATCTCTAGCTACTACTAACAGGTACTTATAACGTTTCGTCCGCTTCGTGAATCTGCTGACTGATAACTTCCCCCTAGGCCTAATACTTGCTACTGAGCCAAGTATTATCAGGAGCCATTACGCTATGATGTTGCTTCGACCTCCTGGCTAGTAGTGCTATTTCATCTCTATTTGCCCATCCTTCCTCTTTCAGTCTTATCATAATTATTCCTAATTAAACGCTTAGGTTTCCTCCTAAGCTAAAACAACGGTCAAACCGTAACAGAAACGAAGCTGCAGACGTTCTCGCCAAACAGGCCTGCACACTCCCAGCTTCCTCACTTGCACCGTCAATCTCTAGAGCAAAGAGAGATATCAAAGTTAGATACCAAGACTCAGCGACCAGATATTGGACGCAAAACGCCCCCGAAAGATACAAACAACTTGGAATTAGAGAAAATGTTGGAGACTCAATGGAACTTGGGAGTCTCGACCGGCGAACACTGGGCCTGCTTCTTGCTGCACGGTCAGGGCATGGGGACTTTGCAGACTACCACCGCCGTTTCCAACACCTCGAAGCTCTCTTGACCTGCAGCTGCGGACGAGAAAAGTCACCTGACCACTTCTTCTTTTGTCGACTAGGGCGCAGCCGAGCACGACTGCAAGGTAGACCTCGACATCCCAACCCTGGAATCCCCTGGGTTCTAAGCTCTCCAGATGTGACGGCTTGTGAGCCGATAAGCCCTGTAGCCTTCGATGGCTATCGAAGGCAACCTATATTATCTATCACTCCGAGGATTATCAGCAGACGAAAACTGATATGAGATCGCCACTAAGGCTACGTAAAGGATAGTGCCGAGAGTATCGGAAGCGTTACCCGTGTGGCAGAACAAACCTTACGTCAGTTTCATTGCCACTGTAAACATAGGCTAGATTTAGATACCTCTGGATGTGTATAAGTAGTAGAGGAGACTTGTAGGTAGTTTGCTTCTACATAGATGAATTATAGCTTTACCTTTTGTCAGGCGCAGGTTCACTAGGCGCAGGACTGGAGGCGTAGGAGAGGGCGTAGCGTAGGATGTACTGAGGAAGGACGCCTCGTGGTAACGCGGAGGGCTTTCTAGAGAAGTGGTAAAAGGGAAAGCGGGGAGTCGTTCTAGATAGAGGGGCCGGAGGTGACAGTAGGTCGCTATGTTTGGCAGAGGACGAGAGTGAGATGTGATTAGAATAATGTAACTATTCCTAAAGACAGAAAACAAAGCGTGACGATATCAGACTCGGAAATG